TGCACAAATTCAGCTTTGAAAACCTCTCAATTAAGCTGCAGATAACAATACAATGTAGAGTTTTTAGATTTCAACCATTAGGATTCAAACAAAAACAACGATAAAATGGGAATGACACTCAATTCATCCCAAAAGAGGATTTTAACAGGGCACACTGGAAACAGCAGATCACATGTAAACATTCATGTGAAGAGCAAGAGTGTGTTCTTGCTTGTCTAGAATGTATGCATTCTTCTGACTGCCAAAGATACAGCACACAACTAATAGAGCAGATATGACAAGTGTCTTTACTGGATTCCAATTAGGCCAGTTGCATAGTTTGGACATCATGGAACAGAAAAGAAAGCTAAGAGACCCTGGAACAATTTGAAATATACATGCTATCGCCATTTGTTTGGGGTTAGGGTGCTGTACACATACGAATGCAGAAATTAGGTCACGGCGATTTGTTTTGAAGAGAATTGTGGCTTGTGTGAGCATTGAGAAAATGGATTGAGAACCTACAGGTATAATGTGATAGTTTATAATTGATTCCTAACAAACTACCACTGGCAACATGAAGTTCTCTTCAAAGAACAAAGAATTATTCGTAAATTGCAGGTCCTTTTTCACACTCAAAATAAAGGAAGACTTTCTCCATGTTTATTTAAATGACTAGCTCAGAAAAGCCTTAGTAGTTTGTGGACTCTGTTGCAAATGGAGACAGGCAAAGTTATAAATGGCAACCCTTCTATCTGTTAGGAGCCACACATATAATTTATAATGCATCGTGCAATTGTCAGGAAATCCTGTACTTTTTTCTTTACCTTGCTTCTAGTCTAAGGTCACAGCAGAGCCAGGGCATAAAACACCTGAAATACTTACAGTTTATGCATTTTAATACCTACATTTTCCTAAAAAAAGCAGATACTGCAAGCATCTGAATTCCCTCCTTGCCTCCTCCAGTGGAGGGTTAGTATTTGTATTTTTCTACGCTATACCTCCCTGTCTTATAAGTAGCTGCTTAATTCTCTGGACCAGATTGGAACAGAGATATGCCCATACAGCATTTTCCCTTATGGCATGAGAAAAATATCACATATTAATGGATGTGCATGTATGCACATACTTTTCAAATATCACTGTTTGAAGATCAGTGTATAGGGGCTATGGGGTATTCTACTGGAACTATGACGATGATATCCAAAATCCCAATATATGTGTCCAAGCAAAAACAGGTAAAATGAATAACATGAAAACATTATTTTTAAGAAGTTGTTAAAATATTCAATTAGCCAAGGCGATAATAATACAGATTACTGACAGCAATGTTTCACTTAAAATTCCTTTATTGAGACAGGTACCTCTATTTACCAAAGTATTTACACAACAATGTGTTATGTATTACTATATGTAATATTGTCCAAGGGATAGAACATTTACCTCATATGTCTTCTTATTCCCTCTAAGAGTGTCAGATACATTAAGCAGTTCCCCAACATATCTGGATGAGTCATGCAATATTTCTCTCAAGGCGTCTAGGAACAACATGTTTGTCACTCCTAGAAGCAACAGCTAAGCAACAGCGCATAGACCTGACAGAAGCATGCTAATGTATTTTGAGGAATGTGGCATCCTGAAATTATAGCTGCAAAATGGAAAGGCCTCCTTTCAACCCTATATCAAGTTCATATTTTATGTAACTTAGCTCTTTCTGTCATTTTCCTGAAAAAGCACAGAAATTTTACGAGGGAAATAAGAATGGTGAACAGAAATCAATGACTGAAATTGTGATACAAGATTCTGAATGTGCCTGTATTCCTCATATGTAAAACCCAGAAGGATTTATTCATTCGCACATTTGTCCATCCAACCGACACTCATTACAGACTGAGATTATTGGCTAGACCGTAGTTCTCCTTTCTTCAATGGAAATACAAATCACCCCCATTAAACTGAAGGAAGCACCTTGGATTTGGGACAGCCTGAGGTTTCTGCATTTCTAGGAGGTGTTAAGGCTCTTGAGATGTAGGTCACCTTTGATTAGCTAGCATCTACTTTGCAATTATTCAATTAAAATTTCTTTATTGATAAAAATGCTCTGTCTGCTTTCCAGCCAAACATTGATTTCCTTTAGCTGCATGTAACTATTGCATGTGCCACATGGCTACAATGACTGAAGCAATTTAACTTTATTATATCAGTTCAAATGATGGCCATGTGCAGCCAATAATTGCTCTGTTGAAGAATGCATTCTAAAAAAATGAACAAGCTCACCTTCTAACAATGGAGAATAAATTGCTTAATCTGATTATTGGAATGTGATCTGGAAAGACATAAGGTATTAGTAATGAAATAACATGAAAGCATAAGAAAGAGAAAATTAACAAACAAACAAAAAAAGATGGCCCAGCGCTGCAGCCTAGTGGCTAAAGTCTTTACCTTGCATGTACTAGGATCCCATATGGGTGTCAGTTCGTTTCCCAGCAGCCTTGGTTCCCATCCAGGTCCCTGCTTGTGGCCCTGGAAAATAGTTGAGGACTGCCCAATGCCTTGGGACCCTGCACCAGCATGAGAGACCTGGAAGAGGCTCCTGGCTCCTGGCTTTGGATCAACTAAGCTCTAGCCATTGCAACCATTCGGGGAGTGAATCATCACACAGAAGATCTTCCTCTCTGTCTCTCCTCCTCTTTATATATCTGACTTTCCAATATGAATAAATAAATAAATAAATAAATAACCAAACATTTAAAATTGAAAAAAAAAATACATGCTCAAGTTTTAGTTGAAATTCTGGTTTTCAATTTTCCTGCGACCTCAAAGGCAAAGCAACAACAATTGAAAAAAAAAGAAAAAGAAAGAAAAATGAAAATATGTAATGAATGGGAGAAAAGGGTGGCATACTGAATTTTGTCATGTAAGTCTCTTAATTAAACTATTAAGAGTTTTGCAAATGCAGCCTAGTCTTGTCTGAGGTCTTGCAGCGTTACGGCTTTCCACACATACTAACTCCACATGAAGGTATACCATCTCATTATGAAACAGACAGACTCATCAGCTCCCAGGCAGAAAGCTGGTTGAAACCCAGTACTTCACTATCTTGTGGAGGAAATTAACATTGTAGTAAAGGTAAGAGTGTCATGTGACCGAAAGGAAAATAACCATCACATCATTCATGGAACTTCAGCTGTGCCTCTTCTTGAGGAGGAGAGATAGAGAGACGCAAGGAAAGGAGAAGGAGCTCCAGGAATCTGCATGGCCTGCCAATGGTTCCCAGGATCCTTTCCAAATGGACTCAGTTTGGCATGAAAACAATATTTCGTGTCAACAGCTTTGTCTTTTGGAATTGTCTTTTTCCTCCTTGTACCGAAAGAATGAACATCATTGAAATGTACACAGTTTTGAGTCTACTGCTTTTTTCCTGAGATACTGCTGACTAGAAGAAGATAAATTTATCTTCCTTTTGTTTTGGTTATTCTATTTTTTCTGTTATTTTGGTGGGGGAGAATGTATCATTCTGTATTCCTTGTAACTATGGTAACAAAGATGATTTATATTTCTGTATTCTTCTGTAGTTTTGGCAGATACTCAGCTTCATTGGCTGGGTGATATAAATTTCAAAGGTTTTATTTTAAAGATAAGTAAGATTTAAATCACTGTCCTCTATTGTAGTATCTATGAAATACTCAACAAAAGAATAACCACATTCATGTGAACTTCACATTGCTCTTATAACATGTACTAAGGTTTAATCAATCAATTTAATTGTGCAACATGGATGAGTGATAGACCCTGTTATCATTAAGGATGGACAAGATGATTCTCTACTTGGAAAGAACTCGAGTCCGAGAGATCTCTGTTTAGAACCACCAAAATCTTTTACTGTTTATGAAACTAATTCCAATGTGCCAGCTTAGGCCTTTGTTCCCAAGCAAGAAGCCGAGGACCCTAGGACGTAACTTAAGCATTTGTACCTAAGCTTCCTAATACTCTTATTATACTTGTCTGTTTTTGTTTTGTTTTGTTTGTTTCTTTTTAACTGAGAGTAGCTTGTTTGGTTATTTGTAGTACAATCTCCTTTAATCTATTGCCCTCCTCATACAACCTTTTCTCTTAGCAAATAACTTGAAATGCTTTTCCTGTTCACAACAGCTATTCTTTTTTTTTTTAATTTAACCTTGCTTATTATTTATAACCAAACAATTAGGAAAATATATCACAGCATTCAAACAGTGAACAAATAAGCTATATTATCATTTTAGCAAGTCCTTAAAAAAAAGTCCTTATCAAATGTAAGGTGCCAGGTTGGGGCACAACACTGCATCTTGTGAAGTCCCCAATCGTGGCATTTGCTGACGTGGGGCTACCTGCCTTTGATCCCAGGCAGTTGGGGCTTGTCCTAGCCCGAGTTGCTTTTTCTCTCTTGGCCTTCCTATCGTTGGGATTGTCTGCTTGGTGTTAATTTGGGAACTAAGTAAGCAATGCTGTGCTTGGCTTCATTCCACTCTTACCCAAATTCACATTTGCCCCAAAGCACAGTACTTCAGAATTCTTTGATCACAGAGCCAAGAGACTATCTTTCACTGTTATTCCTCAGTACCGGTAATTACTGCTGTGAAAACGTTCTTCCGCTTCAAGGGGGAAAGCACTGTGGCAGATTTATCCGGTTACTCAGTGTGAGGGGAGCTGTGCTTCCGGTCCCCTGAGTGACATCTCTAGGATGGGATGCAGTCAGAATATCAGGAGATGGAGGTCCATGCCAGAAAAGGACCCCCACAGGAGTCCAGCAAATTTTCTCCTGAAACTTCTCTTCCAGCTCCACATCTGAAATTACTTCATGCCCTTGCATGTAAAAAAATCCAATGGAATTAGAGTCCGGAGGCAAATGGCATGCTTTACACCTGCTGGCTTCATTGATTTCCTTTATAAACGTCTGTACAGAAGGACTAAATCCCCGTTCTTTTTAAGCAGATTCCTTCCCTCAGTCCCGGTGGCCACTGGCACTTCTACTTCCCCATGTTCTAGAGTGCCTCCTTCATCTTCTTGACCATGGTTAGGATGAGGTGCATGTGGTCATCCACACACTTGGTCACACAACTGTCGAGCTGCTGCTGCACCTGGGACTCCTTAGTCGCCGCATCTATGGAATCTTTGGCTTTGTCGTTGCAGTGCATGGTGCACTGGGCAAGGCGGTCCTGGAACTTCTCCAGTTTGCTGGTCACCAGGGCTTGGGCTTGAGCCAGGGGCTTATGGCATCGCTCGATGCACTGGTGCATCTGCTGCATGGATGCCTGGCTGTCCTCGCAGCAGCCAGCGCTGCACTGGAACATCAGGCCCTGCATCTTGCACATGTTCTCCCTCTCCAGATTCTTCACCATAGAGTCCACGGCCTCCTGCATGCAAAGCTGCTGCAGTTCGGCTATGGTGACCCTGCGCTGCGCAGCACTGGCGCCTGCCAACAGCTATTCTTGAGAGCTTGTTTGATGGTTCTAGCAGGGGAGTGCAGCTACTCGTATACTCTTGACCGAAGACTGGTCCTCCTCTAGCGGCGATGGTCGTCCTCTTCGACCAAGCACACAGCTTCAGGAGGGACGCACATGGAGCGGTGAAGGAGGAAGGCGACACCCGTCTAGCCAGCCAGATCAGCCGAATCAACCCTGGCGATCAATGGGGTGACAGATGTTGCAGCCACATCGCCCTCACATCCAACAGCTATCCTTACATCTAATTCCAGTAACATCATTTAGAGCATCTCTCATATTTTGATCTAGTAAACTTATTCTAAAGAAAAGGCTTTTAATAGCCATAATTTTGATGTTTACTACTTTGATTGTTATAAGCCACTCCAGAAGCTCATGACAATACAAATCAGTAGGTCATGTGCTGTAAGCAAAGCGTGGATGTACAGATCGTACATAAACACAATATCCTCAAGTTAATATAAGTTAATATGCATCTGTGTGGTTCTCCATTTATCTCCCTGCTCTCGGATCCTCCCATCCTCCATACACATCCCCTGAGAAAAACAGAGGAATCTGATGACAGGATTACTCAATGGAACTCATGATCTCTATGGAGTGAAATAAGTTTTATTTTCTGCGATTGTGTTTGTGGTGGTGATTTTGATGTGCCTGCCAAATCCTTTCAAATGCATCTTGTTCAATCTTCTTAATTTAGCTAGATTATTCAGGCATTTATTCATTCATAAAGACTTTATGACAGTTGCATTCTGTGTGCCATTCATGATACTAAGTGGTGAGAGAATTAAAACAGAAAATGTAAAATAATCTCTGGTTTTAAATATAAAATAAATAGAGATAAATAAATAGAAATCCATATTAGAGAACAGACACATCACAACTCAATGCAATATGCGTCCCTGATCCTGTCCTGTGTACAAAAATTATAAAACAGAAGGGACAGCAAATTTTGATACAAAAGAGACAAAAGTCTCATATAAAACGACTGCCTCCAAAGACAACATTCCCTTTGGATACCACTATAACTCTCAGCTGCTCCACTTACAATTCATCTTCCTGCTAAAGAGATGGGAACCACAGGTTTGGGGTCTGACACCACATGAAACACCCAGATGAAACTTCTGGCTGCTGACTTGGCCTTGGCCCAGCTCTGGACTGAGAGTTATGTGAGAAATGAATCCGTGGATGAGGAATCTCTCTCTCTTTCTGTCTTTCATTCTCTCTTTGTAACTCTTGCTTTCAAAATACATAAATAAATACTTTTGGATTCGATAAATGTTGTAAAGCATATTCTAGGAACACTTGCCAAGAATATGCACCGTAAATTATGTAGCATTAGTACACCAACATTAAATTATCTGAGCTTTATAAATGCAATGTTGTTAAAAGCCGATTTAAAAAAAAATCAGCCTGAGGATTATTAAAAGCTTTCAAATGAATTAAAATTATTTTATAATAATTCATATATATGTGTGTGTGTGTGTGTGTGAGTGTTCATATACCCAGAAAGACTGCAAGATAAAGAAAATTTTAAAAATTGATGAATATGATTTAAGGGTAAGTAGAAGTTCTCTAACTCCTGCATATTTTCTGTAAATCTGAAAGTATTTCAAAGTGAAAATACCATCAATGTAATGTGGTGCAAAGTTTAGTTCAGCGTGTCCTACCACAATTAAAAAAAAATGAGTCAAGCAACAATATGTGAATTTGGGAAAATAAAATATGGGTAAGGAAATGTCTGACCCATGATTTTAAGAAGCGATAAATTCAGGACAAAAATAAAGATAATCAGAACTGTCGAGAGGAGAAAAATACTTGGTAATTTATGAATATGAAAATGAGCTCCTCATTCTTACTATTTCACCACAATAAAACGAGGATAGTGGTAAAATTAAAGTGTGGAGATCAACTTTTCCATGAATCTTCAGAGAAGAGACATACTTCAGTCCTAAACACATAAAGATTCCACATACATGTATAATAAAATTGACATGTGTATCTCATATACATAAGATAAAATTTAAGGAGAATATTAGCATTTCCTTTAAATCATTTTAATTATAACACTGAAAAGAATCAGGAGAAATTTACCAATTTGCCAAAAAACAGTCATGACAGAAAGGTGGGACCAGTGTTTGCCTTTGGCTTTCTGCCACGATGTATTATTGGGGTGCAGGTTTTCTCCCAGGAATTCAACTATTCTTATTTTGTACAACACTGTACACAGTAGTCCTTGAAGCTGTTCTCTGATAGGGAACATTACATTACCAATGCAACAACTGAACAAAGTGTGATAACCTCTTCCGGGTCATGAGTCCAACAGGTGACAACAGTCTGAGCAACTCCTGTCTACTAGCAGCTTGTTGACTAAAGCCAATGACCCTATATCCTTCTAGACCAGAAGCTCACATTCAGGGCACCATGGTGTCTTGATGTTATCATTGAGATAACAGGAACATGGGGAGTTTAACAATTTGCCTAAAATAGCAGAAGCTTGAATTTAGATTTTTTTTTTTTGTCCTCTCTCTGGTTTTAGTTTGCTGTGATTTTTGCCCTGCCTGCTTTCTAACCACTTCTCAGTAATCTCTGTTTTTCACTTTGAATTTTCATTCATGACTATAATTTCCCCCAGGGGTCTCCAAATTGAATCTGGTGTCTGAGCACAGAAATATGCATCACTTAATTGGTCAACTACTGTGGTGAGAGGGATCAGCAGGTACAGGGGGTAGTAGGTGTTACAGCTGTAATTATTCTTGGTTTCTGTCTTAGAAAAGGGATTTCTGGGATTTTTTTATCGAAGGTTATTCAGCAGTAAAAAATGGTAATTCTACCCATCAATAACCACCCCTTGAAACATAGTGATAGCTCAAAGACAAACTCCACAAATGATACCATGCTGGTTTCTCCTTTTAATGATGTCTCAATTGAATTTTCTCAGTGAGCAAATTAAAAGAGGATTTGCTAAGTGCCGATGCCTCTAACTCCTATGGGATTAAAAAGAAATGAAACGGCAGCTGAACTCTTCTGTCCTCTGTGAAGATCAATGCCAGGGAGATGCTGCAATGGGAACTGACCTCACAAGGCTTTTGATAAGTTGCAGAACAAGGTCAGGTCCAGCTGGTCCCTCTATAGATGTGCAGATCCCTGCAGTGTCTGCTCACGGGAATAAAACTTTTTTTTTTTTTAAGTGAAGTTGGCAGTGATAACTTCAAGGCTCCTCTGCAATGATTATTCTGAGTAAGATGGTAGTATTTTTTCATCATAATTTGCCACAATAGTTCATCCCTTTCTCTCCCATGGCTCCAGTTCCAGAATGAACAAGGTATTTTGAGTTACAAAAGTTGGTTGCTAGGGCAAGAAGCATGTTGTCTTTCGTGATACTATAAAGTAGCATTTTATACTGCTGTCTGTACAAGGTCATAGGAAGCCAGGAGTAGAATTTGCATGCTCAATCTCCTAGATTTCCTCACTTCACTTTGGACATTATTTTCTTTTCAGTATTGTGATCAGACAATACAAGCTGCTTTTGTTTCCCTTATGACTGCGAATTCTCTGATATACAGGAGTGCAGCTATACTGAGGATACAGCCCGTTTTATGATTATCCTATTTTGCCGAATATCGTATGATGCAAAAATTCAGGGTTAATGCCCATTTAGGATCTGGATCCCTGTTCCAACTCAAAATCAGCATTTTATATATATATATATGAAGATCAATAGGTATGGGTAACTATCAAGCATTTTCAATGTATCATTCTTTTCTCTTGCACAGATACATCCTAGTTACATAATCTATACTTATCAGCAATTTGTTGAAAATTTGCCTCACTGAACTTTAGCAAACTTAAAGGACTCTGAGGCTAGATAGTTTCATGAAAACAGGAAAATGGCATATAAATTTCTCAACAAATAATTTAAATTTGTACAAATTCATCTTTCCAGACGAAGAAAACAGGGCACTTTTGAATGCTTATTCTATCCCAAACACTGTTGTAAACACATAGCAAATATGAACCCTCATATCCACTCCAAGAACGCATAAAAGCTATCACCATGTTTTGCAGATGAAGAAGCCGATGTTCACAGTGGTAAGGAAAAAGGCCTAAACTCATGCTGCTGATGCAAGGCCATGCCACAAATTAAACCATGACACTCGGATTCCAGAGCCCCGACTAAGTTCTATGTCACACTGCACGCATTTAGAAACGACACCAGGGTACTTTGTAAGGCATTCACACTGGAAAGATGTAAACACCTGCTGTTAGTTATGGGGAGTACTTTTAAGATGACCTTATGCGGTACGCTTATATTTTTTACTAAATGTCTGTTATTTGGGTGATTACATGGATGAGGAAGGTTTAATCTCCAACCCACATTTATCTCCTGCTGCTAGCTTATCATATATTTTGGTAGGACGAAAGTTTGCAATCCACAGTAATCAGAAACTATCAACACTGAGAGTGTTTTAGAAATAATTCTAATTTCTGACTGACCCAAACTGCACGACCATACTCTCCTTCACTATGTGATCACTCTATCAGTATTGTCACAGAAGAAACATATCACAATATATTAAAGATAATTTAAAAAGGTGTGTTGGCTTATGAAATTTTCACTATAAATAAAATAAGTTATCATTACTCCTGCTTTCAGAGTGAGCAAACAGCTTCAGACAAATTGTGTAACTTGTAAGTAGTTGAGCAAGATTCAACAAATATATTTAAATTCGGAATCTGTGATGTTAATGCCTAGATCAGTGTTTCTCATGTCATAAGTTACGTAACACTGGGGATTTCCTAGATCCTGTTAGGGAATCCATTAGTTTATCCATTAGTGTGTGCCGGTTCATGTTGTGACTATTAGATGTCCAGTCTAGCTTCCTGCTAGTGGTCTCAGACAGGCACCAGAAGATGGCCAA